ATTACTCTTAGAACTAAAACTGCATAGGAGAAAGGTTTAATGTAACTACTCCCTCTACGCAGAGGCGGATCCAGGATTTGAAGCTTATGAGTTCTTAGTGCGACCTCAAGTAAATATACAATAAGTAACTGGGTTCACAACCAAATATTTATGGATTTTAGTGGATTTTTTAATACTTATACATGGTATGTGCAAAAGTTACTGAGTTCCCGGGAACCCACACCTACTAACAGAGGCGGATGTAGTGTATAACTTACGGGTTCAACTGTACCTATAACTTTCGACGCGGAGTCAAAATTTGTATGTAAAAATTCACTAAAATTGCAAAAATAATAGATATGAACCCATAACTTTAAAAATATAATGGGTTCAATGTTAAAAACATTAAAATTGAACCCATATGATTTAAATCCTGGATCCGCCTCTGCCTACTAAGCTGGATCTGCCCCTGCCTCTACGTCGTCTTAGTTTGAGTCAACATGGTGATCTACTAAGAGAGTTGAAAATATATAGTAGTAGTTTAAAAAGGTAGGTCAGAGAATTAGTGTTAGAATTTCAAGGAATATATTGCTAATTTCATGTTCATTGGCCCGGAAATGCAGGACGAGTCGCAGGACTTGTATAAAAGACAACAGCTTAGAGAACTTGCTGTGTTGAATAACAATTTTAGAGAAGAGAGCCCCCAACCAAGGGGTAGTGTATCTCCTTTTAATTCAAGCGGGATGAAACGAGCCAAAACTGGTTGGTGATGGATGCTAAGTTTTTTTCCAATTCGTGGTGCATCTGTACGCTTGGGACTAAGGCGTCGCTGTTAGTGATGGTGCATTTGCATAGCGGCTTGGCGACTTCAGACCTAAATGCAGCTAAGTTATGTGCCTTTAACGTGACGAAAATAGTATGTGACAAAGAAATGCAGCAGACTGAAGACAACATCAAACTGATTTCTTGACTGTAGTTGTTTGTGTTAAAGTAGAATGATTATTTGATTTGTTTGTTATTGACAAAGCTAGTTGACAAAGGTGGTTCCTTTTCTTTTCTTCCTTTACTTTTTGGGATTTGTAATTTATGACTTATTACATCCTCTGTTAAAATATAGATTGCTCCATGTAAATCCTATGATATGGATTTAAGACCATGTTATTCTATAACTGCAGAAGCTACAATCCACTCCATTATTGCTCCCCTTCTGAAGATGGCATTAGTTTGATTTAGATTTAACCAGTAGTAGTGAATATTTATTCAAGCTCAAGAAACTATTCCCGTCTTAAAGTTGTCTTCGTGTGACCTATAGGTTACGGGTTCGAGTCATGGAATCACCACTGATGTTTGCGTTAGGGCAGGTTGCTTACAGCACACCCCTCGGCTGCAAAAGCAGGATGCATCGTGTTTCCCCTTTTTATTTAAAGAAACTATTCTCATCTCTACTAAAATTCTTTTTTAAAAAGTTAAAACACTGAAATTTTTGAAAAAGTTGAAAATTATTACTAAATAATACTGCATTAGGTGTATTTTTTTAGAGTTTAACTTTTGTGCATTAAAAGTGTTTACTATTTTTAGAAGAAGAAAAACGTTTACCATTTTTACATATTAAACCAGGTTAACTTGATTTTTACAAACAAATAATTTCTTTTAGCAAATCTAATATGATATTGTGAAAATTGAGGAAATAATAGAGTAATAAAATTGTTATAATCGCATAGTATATGTATGATTTCGTACAATTATTCACTATGAATGTACTCTCATTATTCCTTTCGACAAGAAAATTAAGTGGGGCAAGTGCACATATCGCCATTTTCAAGGATGCTATTTAGAGATTGACCAGTACTTATTTTGCCCTGAAATTTAAACTAAAAATCTTAATTTTAGGATAATTCAGGATATTTTTGTCCTGAAAAACTGAAATTTACGACGCACTGGCTAATTCCTAAATAACAGCCTTTTGAAATTTATGACGCACTGACTAATTCCTAAATAACAGCCTTTTAGAATGGCTATCTGGTGTACAAATTAAGTGATTCAAGATGGGCTGGGCTACACTTGTTGAGCCCATAAGAAAGCCTAAAACGAATTTTCAGGAAGAAGAAATTTCCTCATCCATCTACCAAATGCCAATATCATTCTTCCAATCTCAAGCCCTAGTTTTTTTCATTGAATCAATCGATCGGAGAAATCACCATTAAAATTCAGCTAAGCTAAGATGGGGAAACAACCAGTTAAACTGAAAGCAGTTGTTTACGCTTTATCTCCGTTTCAACAGAAAGTAATGCCAGGTCTATGGAAGGATCTTCCGGGTAAAATCCATCACAAAGTTTCTGAGAATTGGATCAGCGCTACTCTCTTGCTCGCTCCTCTTGTCGGCACTTACTCGTAAGTATTCCAATAAATAAATAAAATCAATTAACTGTGCCTTTATTCTAAATTAATCGGCTATTTGAATCATTTATATCCTCAGATCCATTTTAATTTCGATATGCAATAATAAGCTATGGAGCATTTAGCTTGATTTAATTATTTTTGCCTGCTTAATATATGTTTTCGGATATGTTTTAAGGATAAAGCGACTGAAATGTATAGCAAGTCCAACCGAAGGCTGTAGCATAGAATAGGAGCTTAGTTTTTTGTTTAATGACGGTGGTGTCCGTGCCTCAGATTGCGGGCACCTCGACTATTCCACTGGGTACCTGCTATCCGGCTTAGGTAGATGGGAAGAAATTATCTAGAATGGGAACTTAGTTGCGATTCCACAGGATACCTTAAATCCGACTTAGGCAGATGGGAAGAAATCACTTTAACATGGGAACTTAGGTGCTCAGGCTTTGGTTGGAAGATAACATATGACCAGTAGAGAGCTGTTAGAATAGCCATAAGACCATGATTGCCAAACACACCTGTCGGCTTATCAGAGTGTCTGGAGGTAGCTCTGTAGACGACCAATGAGATATGTGTAGCCTTCACGGACTGTGAATCTTCTGCTCATTTATTTAGATGAAAGACAACTGTACAGTGGCAATTTAAACTTGTTGAAAACGTTTGCTTCTATAAGTAATTAATTTCTTAAGCTGAGATTAGTGGGCTTTCAAGCCTATTTACAGATTGAAAAGGCAAGGTTAATAAGGTTTTCCTTTGTTTTGCATCGTTCATGCTGTGTGAAGTTTTATTTCTTTCTTCTTTTGGCTGGGGGTAGTGAGGAAGTACTACACATTGTTCTTTTGAGTAGATAAAGGTTGCTTGGTAAAGCATACGAGCTTAAGCATCAGTTTGATCTCAAATTATTTTTTATTAGAAAAGAGTTATATGCAGTAATATAATTTTTTTTTAGAAGTAAAATGTGATGATATAAAAATACTTAACACTAGTAATTAGATGAAGTTAGTTTCATTAGCTAAAATATAATATTTGAGAAAATATTCACACTAGTTAGATAATCATATACTCTCACATATACTAGTAAATAGTTCAATAACATATTACCACGTTTACAACTCTACCCATATCATGCCTCTTTAAGAGAAACTTAATCTCTGTCTTTTTGTTTTCTTCACAATCATTATATGGTCAAAATAAATGTCATTAACTTGTTTCTCCTCCGTTTGCTTTATTCTGTTCAACTTTGTTGTCTCCAAGCAAGTGAAAGTGACTGCTGCGAAAATCTTAGTTTTTTAAGCTTTAATTAATCGAAAGAATAAGATTTTAATCTGGGTTAGGATTTGAGCTGCATTCAGACGTAGAGTAAATTGACTTAGGTACGCTAGACAGTTGAAGGTTATTAGGAGATTCTGGTCATTGTTTTTATCTTCTGTTGGCTTGAGCTTTTCGAGTAAGGTTCGCTCCCCCCTTTCCCCTTAAATGTGTGTGTCTGTGTGTGTATGTGGTTGCTTAGTTCATAGTCATGGTGTTTCTTTATGCATGCAGGTACGTGCAGCACTTCAAGGAGAAGGAGAAGTTAGAACACAGATACTAAAGTTCTGTTCATCATTTGTATGGGGAGGACCTCTGTTTCTATTTCTGTTTTGAACAGGAAATAAGTCATGTTTTGGAACTTCTACCATCATTTTGAGGATGTTTACTTTTATGGCCTATTAAATGCATCTAGTTGCTTTATTGTCTTTTTGAAACATTTGTGCACTCTGAATCTTGTACTAAGTTCGGAGTTTGAAAAGAGTCCATGAACCCTCTCATATGTTTGCTATTACATCCCATGAAAGAAATGTGTCATTCGGTTGTGCTTAGTGGCGGAGGCAGGATCTCCACGAAGGGGGTTCAAAAAAAAAATTGTATCTAGTGGGAATTGAACTCATGACCTTATGTAGATTTTGAACCCCCTTGACCACTAAACTACACTTTTGGATTGTGTTAAGGGGGTTCAAAACTTAATATATAGAGGTAAAAAACATATTTTGCCTTATATATACAGTGTATTTTTTCGGCGAAGGGGGTTCGGGTGAACCCCCTTGTGCCCCCTAAATCCGCCCCTGGTTGTGCTGTGTTACCCTTTCATCTTAGCATTAATGGATTAAGTATGAGAAGTGATGATCATAGGCTATAGCTTTTCTCAGCATGCTTTTCTTTTAATGGAATGAAATGAATAGGCCAATACGCGCTCTGTTGTATGGTGTATACCTGAAAATAAGAAATTGACTATGAACCGCGATAAGAACCCAATTTCTTCTTTGTCATTGTATGACCGTGTTTGCTGTGTTTGACCGCTCTGGGATAGCATCTTGGAAGGCGGGGATGGCGTCACAAGTTTCGAGTTTTCTAGCTAGCCGTTGGCTATTTCTTCAGATGTGCTCGTTCATTTTTACGTACTGATTGAACGAAACCAATTCTTTGGGAACAAACGTAAACAGACCATTTTTAACTTTCATGGGCAAACATTAAAATCGTTAGAATTAATTAGTTGAAGAGGCAGATAAGAATGTGTTCTTACGCTGCCTGCATTGAGAGGTATCAATTCGACAAAGATATAAGCTCTTAGTTGTAAGAGACAGTTCAAAGACAGAATAAACAACATACCCAGTTTATTCCCACAAGTGGGGAAGATATAAGCTTTTAGCAGTTCAAAGACAGAATATAATTGAAAAATGTTCAATTGGATACTGACAAGGTTCGTGCATAGACAGAAGTTCAAGTCACAAATTTTCAATCAACAAAAGTAGAAAACTAATGTGCTATTTGTAGGATTATGCCACTTCAATTTGCTAAACAGCCTCTAGAAAGGCCCTTCCAGGTTGACGTGCAGCAAGTCTACCATGGCAGCCAAGAAGCTGCAAAAACAAAACAAAAGAAATAAGTTCTAACAAGCAAATTACCACTGGCAAAAGGCTCTATAGATGAACAAAACAAAAATAATTCTTTCTTAATAAAAAAAGGTTAAGAAGAGAACAAACCTTTGCATTGACACCATCCGGGACAATACGGTTCTCTGACTTGTATTTCAGATAATCGGTACGGCTAAACTTAGTGAAACCCCTGAAACAGAGATAGCACAGGTAAGGTTCAAGCACAAATTATCCAACTGAGCATCTAAAATGACCAATATTGACCGTGTTCAATCATCTAACTTCAACAGGAAGGTAAAATAGATTACTTAACACTCGAATAGTACTAAGTTTTGGACTAAGAAATAAAGGGCTGAGCTCAGAACTATAATGAGACAACAAAAAACCAAGATATCGTGAAACTGCAACACAGCTCATCTCCGGAGAAAAAAAGAGCAAAACTTCCAATTACAAGACAAACTTTGCATTGAAAGAGAGAAATTTGTGTAATTTATGGCAGTATATCTACTTAGATGGGATCTCCCTAAACTGAATAACTAAGCAAGTACATAAGGTACGATCTTACATGCCAATGGTAAATAACAGAATAATCCTTAGAATGGAAAAAGTGCAAAGTTCTCAAACATATTGCAGACACATAAAAAATAAAAAATAAAAAAATAAAAAAGTGAACCTTCAGATAAAATACATACCACTTTCTGCTGACAATGATCTTTTGTCGGCCAGGAAACTTAAACTTTGCACGACGCAGAGCCTCTTGTGCATGGTTACTGTTTCCATCTTTGCAGCGAACAGAGAGAAGAACCTGACCAATTGCAACACGAGCACAAACACCCTGTGGCTTACCAAAAGCTCCCCTCATGCCAGTTTGGAGCCTATCAGCTCCAGCACATGACAACATCTTGTTAATACGCAAAACATGGAAAGGATGAACCCTGACCCTAAGGTGGAAGGCATCCTTCCCAGCAGACTTGGTCATGTACTTGTTGCACGCAATACGGGCAGCTTCAAGTGCCTCACTAGAGACATTCTCCTTCTCCCAACTGACCAAATGCACACAGAAAGGAAACTCATCAACTCCCTTTTTCTTCATGCCCACATCATAGATCCTAATCTTTGGATCAGGGACACCACGGCAAAACCGTGATTTTGGGTAAGGCTTGTTCTTAATCTGGCGGTAACATCTTGCAGGTCCTGCGCAAAAGAATCCAACCATTAGACAGAGCCCCCTAAAATAAATGAGTTTTGGGAAGACAAGCATCAGGACACATAGTAGCACTATAAAAAACTATCATTACGATATAATATATTCTGAAACTAGCTATGCCAAGACTCGAGGAGCTCTGAATAAGCTTTTTCATACATGTATCCACAATTAATTAATTAAATTTGATAGTCAAATATAAAGCTCCTATTCTTAGATAAAAATAAATCCAACTTACAAAGTCACATTTCATCACCTATTTCACTATGTAATCGTGCAAAGAAAAATCAATTATCAGGTACAGTAAGAAAGAATATTTCTTTGACACAAAAGAAAATGAGAAACTGCTGCTTTCATTTCACAACCATGCAATCCTCCTACAAACACAAAAATTCATCCTCTACAATTTCTCAAATTCTCGCAACTCAGTCTTTATTGGATTGGGAAAAGGAGCTTTCTTTGAAAATAAACGTGAAAAAATGGATATTGGACAATAAGGGATAAATAAATTTTGCCATATAATTCCATTTTCAAGCTACCCATTTTATCATAGCTATATCTGGTTATTAAACGATTGACCTAAAAGCCACTAATTTGTAGACAACGTGATACGAACTACCCATTTATCTAGCACTGTTTCAGAAATGCTACAAAAATTAATCTCAATTCAGAAATTGAGATTTGTGTGAGAGCCCAATTTTTCAGATCTTCAAAATAATTATTGTAATGTAAATGAAGATAGAAATTGGCGTTAAAAATGAGAAACAGGGCAAAGCGACTTACTTCTCCCCATGGCTAGCTTACTGCAATTGAACTGCGGCTTGTAAAGACAGAAGAAAGAGAAATCCCTTTATATATAGTTGTGGAATTAGGCTTAGAAATTGTTTGGGCTTACGTCTGGGCATGCGTCACAAATTAGATGGGCCTGGACCGACATAGTTAGAACACTAATTTCAAACAACCCAAACCCGTTGTGGTCTAAATTACTCGACCGTCCTTAGTAGAAATTCAAAAATAGTCATATTTACAAGTAGTCATTCAAAAATAGTTACAGTTTCAAAAGTAATCGAAATTTAGCCACTTTTCACGTAAAGATAAATCAGAACGAAAATATTGTTCAAATCAGGAAAAATACTTCAGCATAATATACTGGAGCTCCAGTATAATATACTGGTACAGCATAATATACTCGAGTTTGGAGCACCGGTGCTCCAGTATCCAGTATATTATACTGGAACCAGCAAAGTATACCGGTCCAGCATAATATGCTGGAAGTTCATACACAGGTGCACCGAACTCCAGTATATTATGCTGGAGCGGTCTTTGTGCAACAAAATAGTTGCTATTTTTCAATTACTTGGCAAATACTGGCTATTTTTGAATGATCAGTCCAAAAACTGGCTAGACCGTGCTATTTTAACACCGTCCTTGTGCTCTCAAGTCTTGATTTTCAAGTGCCACATGTTGCATTCAGTGGCAGAGCTAGCATAGGACTTGCGGGTTTGGCCGAACCCAGTAACGTTCGTCCAAAATCTGTATTTGTTTTAAATTTTTTATTAAATATGTATAAATTGTTAATTCATAACTCATTAACATAAACGACTTAGAATCCGAAACCACATACTTCAAATCATGGCTCCGCTTCTTATTGCATTTACTTGTAGCAGGCGTTTATACACAAATTCCATGATTTTTTTTTTCAAATTTAAAATTTCACTAAAGTTTTGATTTGAAGATGAAGTTGTGTTTGGTTATAATTTTGCAACATATTTGGATGCACTTTTTTCAAAACCATGAAATATGATTTATACCCCACAATTTGTAAAAAAAATATCAAAATCACCCCGAATTGATTATCCTACTTGAAACAAACAATCAAACATGCAAATTATTTAATTGTACGAACATTCTCTAACAGAAGTTGTAGTGTCTCCTTCAAGTAAAAGTATAAATTGTAGATCTCAAAAATGGATATCAAAATGTAGTCCAAGGCCAGTCAACCACGGCGGGTAGTTGTAGCGTGTAGGTGTTATCTAAGTTTAATAACTGATTGGAGTCTTTTTATAAATTTAAAAAATATAGGGTAAATTTGTAAAACTTAAAAATACTAACTTTTCAATTTTTCAATTGGAAAAACTAGTTCTCAACAGTTTTTCAAATTTGAAAATGCATTTTCAAGTTGGATTTGAAAGAAAAAAAAAATCATAACCAAACATTGTTTTGATTTAAATTTTTTTTTTTTTTTGAAAAAAAAAAAAAAATTCTTATGTCCTAACGGGCTCGTAGTTTGCTGTTAAAAAATACAAACTGTTTACATTAGAATCCTAATACATAAACACCTACCCCATTCTTTATTTTTTTGACACACTGTCAAAACTATGCTACAATATTGACATGTGTAATTTAGAAAGACATTCAATCGTGATATTATTTTAATACACTATACAAACACACACATATATATACACAACAATGTATATATTTTAATCCTACTAAAATTAGCGTTTACTAGTATAGTTTTTTTCCCCCTCAAATTACTATATTCACTTTTACAGGAGTAATAAAAAGCTCAATCAATTTTTCTTGATTTAAAATTATTTTGGCTGCTCATTTGCACGACAATGGTCAATTGGCACCCGCTTCTTTTCAACATAGACTCCTCTTGGAGTTCAGTGCAGGCCATTGATTAGCTAGCTTGCACATGGTACATCTGTTAGGAGAAATGCGTGCTTTATAGCCTTTGAGATAGTTATGTATTTTCCATATAATTTGTGGTCCTTATTATATTTGAGTGAAAATTAGGACTTTGAGATCATTCGTACTAACATGGCTTTCAAAAAAAAAAAAAAAAAAAAAAAAAAAAAAAAAAAATCAAACTTCTTAAGTATTGTCCATGTCAGCAAACAAATCAGCTTCGAAAGAATTCTACGGTCCGCATAAATTTTTGAAATAAATACGATATGATATGCAAATAATAATAAAATACTAGTGACCGAAAAGTATAACGTAGATTAATTTGAAAATATAGCCAAAATAAGGAACAAGGCGTTTCGAATCTAGTACTATAGCTGAATTGAAAAGTGCGGTCAAAGAATAGGATAATACCAGTACTTACCTTTAAGTAAGGTACCGGTAAATCGTACCACTCTGGTTTTGGGGTAGGGGTGAGGGATTTTAGTTAAGGACGTAGATAAAGGTAGGATACCCGAAATAGTACCCTTAGTATCGGTACCGGAAGTATCCTTAAGGTACCGTACCGGTATCGGAAGGCGGGACCGGTGCCAAATCGGTACCCAAATTATTATTATTTTATTTAAAATTTGGCCCTTTTTGTACCGTTAGCCAATGGATTTGTTCGTTACATACAAGAAACTTATAATCCTACTTTTCAAAGTTTTCCTCGAACAATTGTTAGTAGTGATGTTTTTAAATTTCAACGTGAATATCAACAATATTTATGGTACCTGTTTTTCCACATAGATTGTAGAGTTTCTGTCACTTCTGACATAAATCGTAGTGTAAATGGTTATGGTTACTTAAAGAGGAGAGAAGAAACTTTGGCCTTCCATAAATAATTTAAGAAGATGACAATGCATATAATTAAATAATATCTACCGGAGATGGCGGGGGACGCAGACGAACAAGTGGTACAAATTCCAACCGAAGAGCCATGAAAAGTTATTGAAAAAATAAAGATTGTTCAAAGGAAATATGTAATTTTATTTTTACAAGTATTGAGATACAGAGTAAATACTCGTAACTTGTATTAGAAACTTAATGTTTACTTTGAATAAAATAAAATAAAAGGGCACTTCATAGCCTTGAATTTTTTCATCCATTAAAGTGTGTTTGTATTTAGTTATAATGTTTTTTAATTTTTAATTTAAAATTACCCAAAAGTACCCTAAAGTACTGGTACCGCATCCTTTGGACCGTTTGGGGTACTGGTAGGGTNCTCTCTACAATACCTTTAACCCTTAAAGATCTAGTTAGATGTGTTAATCGGGCCGACCCGACCCACTAATAACGATCTGGTTCAACCCGGTTCAATCAGGGTCAGTCCGGTCGGTAAAGGGTGGGACAGGTTTGGCTAAGGTAGGGAGGATGTGTCCGGACTGGGTCGGGCCTTTTTTAGCTACTGGTGCACCGGAACCCGGCTAGCCCAGTAACCCGTTCAAGGGTTTTAACCGTGCTTCAGTCCGGTCCAGCCCGGTTTAAGTTATAATTTTTTTTATATTCTGATAGTTCCCAAAGTTCAATATAAAAAATGACTGTTTGGCAACGATTATTTTTTGCACTTTTACACTCTTATTCTACTCTAATTTTCTCTCAATTCCCTCTTGATTATTGAATTGCTTATTACTCTCAAGTTCTCAATTAATTATTATTTCAAGTATTATCAGTTATTTATAGTAGCCACTACAAAATTACAATTATCAAGTGAAGTGTGGTTACCATTTTTGTTAGGTTCAAGTTCAATCATGCCCCGTGCTTCTAGAGTACGCTCACATGTTTGGAAACACTTTGAAGTAGTAGAAGAAAATGAAGAAGTTCGTAAAGTAGAGTGCAAGAACTGTGGTCGAATCTTTAATGCCAATCGAATGTGGGAGGGCACACATGGTTTAAGGAAGCATATCAAGGGTTGTCTTGAGCGTCCTCTAGGAATTCGTATTTAAGTTGATTTGAGACAATTTGTGTTATTTTTAATTTATTAGACTCATTTAAGCTTAATGTATTAGTTTATGAGACAATTTGCTCTTATTGGCATTTGGCAGTAGTAGACACTAAACTTTTTATTGTAGTAAACTTTTAATTTGCAAGTTCAAAAATTAAAAAATGAAAATAGAACTTGCAAGTTAATTTGAAATATTATTATGCAATGAAAATATGAAATGAAAGCCTTTGAAGTTTGATCCTTACATATTGGTCTTATTAAATAATTTTATGTAGCCACTTAATTTTAAATTTTAAGTCTTAAAATACTTATTTTATTATTTAAAAGTTCGCAAACACTAAAGGATCAATTACATTGGACAAGGAAACATAACACACTAAAAGAAAATTAACCCGGCCTTGATTCGGATTCGATAAGCCCGAACCATGACGGGCCCAACATAACCCGAAATATCCCAACCCATTACCAGCCCCGAACCCCAGCACACTAACCAGCCCGCCCCACTAACCGGACGTGTTATTTTTTCCCATGTCGAGTTTGGTCCAACCCGTCCGGTAAACACCTTTAGACCTAGTACTCCCCCTAGACATCCCTACCCCTTACCCTTTCGGTCGAGCACAACCTTTTGACCACTAGGTTCAAGCAACCCCAAGTCGAGATACCAAAGAAGAAGGAAAATTGACCACCGTCGATTTCGTTTCATACTGAGGTCAAAGTTGTAGGCCCCCATTCCCCCAACCCATTACAGCTTTCAAAATTGGGCTTGTGTTCCGATAGGCAGGAGGTGTAAGCAGTGCGAGGTAGCTTCGCGAGAGGTGTAAGCAGTGCGAGGTGTGAAGCGAGATCAATTCTGACCTACTAGGGAAAGGAGGCAAATTTTTGTTAGACTAGAGTAACTATTTTCAAAGCTGAACTAGTGACTCGTGAATGTTGCGAGTTGGAAACATGAAGGCATTTAGTTTGTTTTTTTGGCTTAGAGGCAAATTTGACATTTTTCCTTTAATTTAAGCGACAAGGGCCTGTTTTGCCAAGTCGATTACTGACTTACTTCTATAACGTGTGTTTAATTTTGAATGACTTCTTTCAAAATACCTTTGTTTTGGATAAATGACAGTTTCTATTTGGTAAATGTATACTACATAATTTATGTTTGACTA